TTACAAAAAAAATCTGTAAGAGTTACTTCACAGAAAAAGTTATATCGAAAACCGTCCAAAAGTAAAAAAATAAATAAAATAAAACAAAAAAATTCTTAGGTATCTCAAAAACTACAAAAAATCGCGGAACATACATGGAGGTCCAATCGATAGATATGGAGACCGTCGCTGGTACTGGTTTTCTGGAACAGCCTGCATATACATTGACGGTATTTATCATAAAAATCGACGTCACCTTAAAAAGTTGCTCTCTCTCTTAACTAAATGAGAATAGAGACAGGTATAGAGATACTTAAACAACCGATAATAAACGATTATAAGTAAGGCCATCAAATTTTAAGGGCAATTTTATTGAAATATATTTTACATATAATGTAATGAAAAAATACATTCATGATGGCATGCTACATTTTCTCGAATTTTGTCGTAAAAGCGTATACATTGCCCCATAAATAAATTACTAAGTCTCGTAAGTGGCATTACAAGCTTATGTTTGTCCCTAATATTTAAAGTATTTACATCTTTGTGCTTATAAAAGCTATTCATGTTTGTACATTACATGTTCATAAATATATGAAAGTAACTTAAACTCATATAGCTGCGTAAATATAGGTGAGACTACTAATCTTTCTTGCAACATATGCTGCAGAACTAAGTCTGCTTGCTTGCTTGCATTGGTTTTTATTTAACATTTAGTTATTGTAAATTATATATATATATATATATATATATATATATTGTTTTGTTGCCGTTTAAAAGCAAATTGTTAGCGTTAAACCAATGTACTAAATTTCATAGGGCATTATGAACATCTTTATAATTAATTGACTGTCAAAAGCCTCAGTACCCCTACAAAGTAGGTAATCTGCGGCCCTCTCGTGACCACTGGTGCTGCAAATCCAAACATCGGGCATTAATAATAGTAAAGTAAAATTAAACACGAAAAAAATCGTTAAAATAGTTTTTAGCTTATTCCATTAATTCTCCTCCATTTATTCATCTGTTTACATTATTATTGTTGTTAAAGATTACGTGTTTGAAATGTCATAATATTATGTCAGTAAACAGAATTTTGTAGCTACTTTCCAAAACCTCAATATTATAGATTTCAAATAGAGTGCGTAAAATGTAAAATTATGGTATTATTGCGATAATAGCCATTTATATATTAACCAGCAACCATTACCAGCTACAATCAACGGGCACTTTTCCATTCGCCGGCAAGTCATCGGCACGGAGCCCCGTGCCGGGGCTCCGGGCGTTTTTCCACTGTGCGATCTACGCTCGGTTTTTGGGTAGTGCTAACACAGGCTTCAGTTCTACAACACGTAAAAATGATCTCAAGTCGTCGCATTTGTTTGTTATACCTCTTACATTTAAGATGAAAATATAATCAATGCAGGAAAGTCAAATTTTGAATTCATACAATATTAAAAATAAGATACTTAGAAGGAACATATTATACCCTATTTTAAAAGTTGAAAATAGACTCCAAAAAATATTTCAACTTTTTCCACATGAACGAGGAGACATTTCATCATTTCATCATTTCCTGTCTCAATCTCAACGCACCCCTTCTACCTTAGCGCACACGCACACGCATATACGGCTACAATACGTACACACAACATAATATACAGTTTTACCGGCCGGCATCGAACGGGAAGCTTGCTGTCCCGGTACCGGTGACGGTATACCGGTGGGAGTCATCGCCGTGCCAGCGCCGGCGGTAAGTGGAAACACATGCCTGCATAGCCGGGCCGATGCAGGCGCCGGCCGGCTAATGGAAAAGCGCCCAATCAGTACAAGCATTTCGCTTTATAGCTTCCGCACGTGCGGCTGTATTATACTTACGTTAAAGCCACACTGTAGTGAAATCTCAATTTTAATTTCATTTAAAATAAAACTTTCTCTGCTCATATTTTTCTCTTAATGTTTTTTTTTCTTTTTCCTTCATTTACTCTCATAGAAACTGAAATTTAGTTATGGCTTAGAAATTCGTAAGACGGTCGTTCCTATTCGCGGAGTTTCTATGGAGGGATCACCAGTAGATGTTATACGAAAAATTATTAAAAACAGACCTTTTCAAAAATATAGATAGGTTCCGCGGGGCAAATAATTTTAATATTTTCGAAAAGTTAAATGATAGGATAGGGTGTCCATATTGTGAGATTAATATTGTTAGAACCCCGTCAAGAAGTTATTAAAAATAATATTGAGTAAGGGTGCGTGTTGAACTGGCTCATTTGCTTATGAAATAATTCATAAACAGCAGTAAAACTGTATAACACACTACACTACACATCCAGCGTAGTAAAATTACGATTCGACCATAACGTGATACGTGCGTGGTACTTTGATACGTGCTAGTCACGACACCTGAAGTGTAACGTGATGGAAGTCATAACATAATAACACAAAAATAAATTTATCATGGTGTAACACTGGTCATATTCACCTCAGAATACTCTTCTTTACTTGTTCTAGCGGGATAACCTATAATTTAAAATTAAGAAATTTGTACAACCGACTTCAATATAAATTATTAAGAATAACTCAAAAACTATTGGTCAGACCACATGAAAAGCACCACCTTTCAAATAAAAAAAGAATCATCGAAATCTTTTTTACCCAGAAAAAAGTTATGAGGTAACACACATTAAAAAAACATCCAGTCGAATTGAGTACTTGCTCCTTTTTGAAGGCGGTAGAAAAGAACAGAAATACGATGAAACAGAATTTATATTGTGAATTTGATTTGGTAGCCAGAGAACCTTTTTACGCGGGAATATGTAGTTTTCAAGAAAATATTTTTATAGTTATGAGGCATGTTATTCTAAGATCGAATTTTCAACCATAACCTATAATTCTATGACGCAATCTATGGCAGAGATTCAGAGTAATTTTCGTGTGCTTGTACAAGGTAAATTAGTTGATTAGTAAATAAGGTCTAAAGGCATTAAGCCCGGCCTTTATAACTGTAACCCTTAGGTGCGACGAGACCAGCACGCGGAATCAGCGCCGGTACCGTTATTAAAGTCCACTGCTGAACATAGAGGTTTCCCAAAGATTGCCTCATAGGGTATATATTTGCCAAGTGGGTTGGCAACCGCAGTTTTTTATTTTTAGTCGTTATTAGGAAGACGTTGCCGTTGCCTGATTTGTTTCCCTCTGTCGCCTCTTACGACACCCAGGGCATGATATGGGGTAGTGGATAGTCTTACACCGCAACTACAAAGAATTAGTACATAAACATGCAATAAACAATTACATTGGTGCCGGTGGGGATCGAACTCGGGTTGCTCACGTAATGTGAACTTTATGAGGAATTCGCCGTTAGCGTTCAAATACGGCGAATCAAATACTATGTTAACGCACGAAATACAAATTAATTTGAGACTTTCAGTTTAAAAGACGTTTTCGTGCTATATTTCTACGTAATACGTAATGCACTCTTTTCTATCAGCTTCATAATTATTCACTCCATCAAGTCCACTGCTGAACATAGGCTTCCCCCTAGGAATGCCGCAAAACACGGCTTTACGCCACTTGCATACATGGACTCCCTGTACGTCTGACCAGCTTTCTTGTTATTATTTATTTTTTCATGTTACATTACCTATATTACATAACACTATTAGATATTCTGCACCCAAAGCGTAACTTCAGTCACAGAATATATGTTTATATTAAATATGCTTTAAAATTAGGAATATGCACAAATACGTAGTGACGTATTTACTTTTGTTTTAACCCAAAATAAAAATTACCATGGATTTAAGATAGATAATGCATAAATGCCGTATGGTGGGGGCGTAGATAAGAGAAATCATATCGCCCCGATGTGTGACGTAAGAAGCAACAAACAGAAGTTCAACTCGTTTACCGGGTAAATGTCCCCTTATAGGCTGATGAGAAAGAAGAAGAAAGCAGAAATATATATTAAGTTATTATTTAACTAGTGTTGTCTCTCTTTATATGACTACCTATAATCGTGTGCACATGTTTATTATAGGATAGGGTGACTAACGAGCACACAGTCCACCTGCTGGTAAGAGGTTCCTGTGACCCATAGACATCTACATCTATACTCAATAAAGAATCAAAATGCAGAGGCTTTATTACCCGTAAGGATTAAAATGGAATGCCTCTTTTCCAATAAAAAGGGGCTCCGGTTCTCTACAATCATCATACGAAACGCAGCTGTGTTAATCTGCTATTTTACGCTGGTGTTCTGTGAGAGCGTGGTCCTTCCCCGGTCGAGCCGACCCATTCGTGCTACAAATATACTATTAATATAAAATGTTTTAAAATATAGACACAGAATACATAATAGTTAATATAGGTCACGCTTTAAACGCGAAGCTGCACCACAATGTAGCATTTGCCTTGTTCGGCCAATTCACTTTCTCCAAAGGACCTCAATAGGTACTGCAAGTGTATAAAAGAACGACGCCGACGTATTTTCGCACGAATCCCTTATATGTATGTAAGCTACATCTACAATACAGGAAATAATCCTATGTTGGGATAACTTTCTTTAAAACCATCTATACAAATAAATAAAATTGAAGTGTGTGTTTGTAATGTCAAAATAACAGCTTTTAACTAAATGCATATAAATGTCTGTCTGTTTGTTCCGGCTAATCTCCGAAACGGCTGGATCGATTTCAACAGGACTTTCACTGGCAGATAGCTGATTTTATAAGCATTAACTTAGGCTACTTATATTTTAGAAAAAGAATTATGAGTCCACTCAACACAATTAAAACCCTAAATTAACGCGAAAATTAACTATACGGCTTTATTACGGACGAAGTTGCGGGTAACAGCTAGTATAAAATATATAAGAAAACTTACTGAGCCAATAAAGACGGCATATTATGATTTAAAATTAAAAAGTAAAATCTGTGTGTACTGGTAACACGTTTGTTTACCAACAACATTCAATATAAAAATAATACTCGTATTATTTCATTTACCAACAATACTCGTATTACCGTTAACGTTGAATATGCGTCGACTGTTTAATTTAGCACTGGTTCTTTTTGTTTCATAATGATTATGATTCGAACTTCGTTGTGCAGTGAAATATTCTTCTCGATTTTCCGCCAGTGCTTCCAAGGCGTTGATGCGTCTCCATTCGTGATTGTTCCATCCCTGGTTCACATCGTTGTAATGTCGATTGATGTCCGTGAAGATTATAGACGGTGATGTCCACTCAATGAACCACTGATGCGACACTGCCATAATTTCGCGAATTGCATTTACACTGCCACAGTTTTAAAATAGATAAAGACCTCACTGTTTTCCGATCTCTATACTTTATTTTAAGCTGGTACACTAAATACGCCGTATAAAATTTAATTGTATCACTGTTCGCGTGTAACCAGCGCTGTCACAAACTTCATCTGACGATAGAGTCAGCCCGCTGACTTTCAAGAGTAATCAACTCAACCCCTCTTGTATCGGTTGCAATTTTACAATATGAAACTAAAAAATTACATATATCAAGACATCTAGAATCTAAATGTTCATTAGCTATCTGATGTTATATACGAATTTGGAACTAATGGATGCGTTGTGTAATATAAAAACAACTCATGTTAGAGTGAAATTAGTGAGTGCACTTACTGCAATAACATTCATTTTAATTAATTTAATTGAAGCCCGTTGTAATACAAGCGATTACAGAGGTAATTACGGTTATATAGGTTTAAAATATAAATGAACTCAATTGAAGCATTCAAATGTAAATTATTAAAATTTTTAAAATAACTTTGTATTAATAATTATTTAAGGCACGTTGATTTCTTGACGATTAAAATATTTTTGAAATATATGATTTATTGGTCAAGAGGTCTATAAAACAAATAGTGAAATAATTATACATTTTCGTAAGTCAATGTCGTGATGTAAACTTACATTTATATGATGTTTTCTAATATTTACGCGATTATTATACATTGAGTAAAACCAATTTCGGCTTTTATTGCCTTTATTTAAACAAATGTTTATTTCTCACAATTTGGGCGATTTAAAACACCCACCGTCTCGGGCTCTGCTTTTATTTCTATACTGAGGTGTTTGACGCTCTGATGTTCCCGGGCTTCTTTAAATTTTTAAATATTAATTTATTTTTGTGCGATTTTCGCAGAACGAGCTGACCTTACCTTGAAGCCTTGCGGTCATATAAGGGTTTAATTAATGATAATGGGATCCTATGGTGACGGTAGCACGCAGCCATCTTTTTTGTTTCGAAATTTGGATATTTTAGTATACTTTTTTAAATTCACCTTTAAGTATTTCTGGATCAAATCTTGCAATAGAATTTTGAACACACTTTTTGTGCAGGTGACAATGCAATCTTGTTTACTGTTGCGTATTTTGTTTTTCAAAATAGCTGACGCCCCTTTTTATATGCAAAGAGATTTAAATATATAGGTATACTATAGAGCGGACATTGGGAACATTTATATACAAAAACTTTGGGCTAGTGCGCGTGTGGCACCCTCTAGCTAAAAATAGCAAAACAACGCTAAGCATTTATTAAGACAACATTTTAGCTATGCCCCAGTAGGTGACGCTAATAAATATGACGTTGTTTTAGGAATGTTACCGTTTCGATATCAAAGTATCAATAATGTTGTTGAAGATTGCTAAGTTTGAAATGCTCGATATTAAAATAGGGAATATACATGATTGTTTTACTGTATAAATCTATTTATCATGACTTCCACCACACGAAAAAAATCACATGATTATTTTACACCTCTTTAGTGTAATGAAATAAAATATTTAATTTCCAATAACTTACTTATCTTCACGCACAATCCCTGACGGGGTAGCCAGAGAGAACAGATCGCCAAGTGTCACGATCCTTACATAACGCTTTCGCTTCTTTCAGATTCATTATCTTCTTCATGCATGCACGTCTAAGTATCCGAGTACTTTTGACCCTACCCTCTTCGAGCAATTTGCTCACATGGTCTTCGAAAGTTAGTCTCGGTCTACCTCGACACCTTTTAATATTAACTTTCGCGCTATATATTTTCTTCACCATTCGGTCTTCACTCATTCGCTCAACGTGCCCAAACCACCGAAGCACGCCCTTATCAATTTTTGTGATAAGGTCATCTTTCAAACCTGCCATATTGCGAATCTCTTCGTTTCGCTTTCGGTCGGCCATGGTAACGCCGCACATTTTACGAAGAGATCGCATCTCCACTGCATTCAACTTACTTTTATGCTTCTTCTGGCATACCCAGGTTTTGCTGCCATATAAAAAAGTCGGTACCAACACTGCGTTATGTATTGCAAGGCGTGCACTCTTCGCTACGCCTTGCATTTTGACTAACGCAGCCAGGGCACCATTGACTTTGTTCCCGGCAGCGACACGCCTGTCCACATCTAAATCACATCTTCCATCCTGACTAAAAGCACTCCCCAAGTATACAATTTCATTTACCTGTTCTAGACATTCCTGATTTACCCATATTTCACACTTCGTTCTCTCTTGGTCCCTTTCAAATTAATTCAGTAATTTCCAATAACTAAGAATCAATTCAAACAGCAGTCACTTTGGTTGCCACCTTGGTGGCATCTTGGATGACGTCACTCGGTCCATTAGCTGCTGTAATAATAGCATATGATTGATCGGTCGGCGTTAAAGACATATCGAGAAACGCCAAATCCCATAAGAGAGCGCCTCTATGTTTTTAAATTCGTTTCTATTACAAAAATACACTTCAAATCTAAAATATTTTAGGAAAACACTGAACTTAAAAGCCGTTTCACGATTTTTCACGTTTCATTAGCTGCAGTACATAGAGACACTACCCACATCAATAAAAATTGTTATTTTAAGTTTTTACCTTATTTTCTAACTCAGGCTTAACCTACAACTTTTTACATCTAATATCTTTAACAGTAAAAATTGTTTTTAATGTAAGAAACCTATAGCCCTCTCCTATCACTCTAAGAGAGGATCTATAATGGCTTTGTCCTTGAAAACCACCAGACAATGAAGCCCGGTGTAAAAGCACCAGACAATGAAGCCTGGTATGTAAAACAGAAGACTTGCTGTATTGCTAAACATCAACACGGCAAGTATCCTCAGCATGCTCATAAGCAACACAGAAAATCTCTTCAGCATGCCTAAAAAAATTTCCCACTCTTGCTCCACATAAAGTAGGCTACTTAGTATAGTTGGTATATGCTACTCATTTTTGTTGGTATGGGTAAAGTATCGTTGACTGTTTCACCTCCTTAATATTGTAAAGAATTAAATCAGCATCCTGTATATTTTTTTATCGATAATCCCAATCGTCGTCAATCACTAAATTTAACATTGGTAACTAAATAGTGACGTTTACTGGATAACAGAGGGCGCTTATTACAATAAAATAAATGTTCTAGAACAATCCACAAGAAATAATAAAATTTAAAGATTATTCGGTAAATATATGTTATATTTACGATAATAAACCGAAATCATGTTCATTTTTTGCTCCATATCGACTTACAATATCTTAATGCACAACCGGGCATATTTACTTTAAAAATATTTTTTAAATATATGAAACGAATGAGTCTTAACTTTTTGACGATGTCACTAAGACTAAATGACAAAAATTGGAGATATATCGTATAGGACATAAGTTACAGACGACAATTTTGCTACTGATGTCCGATCTATTACTACTACTACTTAAATGTCTTTGTTTATATGACTGTAGCCTTCCGGAGATGTTGTTAGTGCTCTGCTCTACGTCAGCTTTATGTTCATTTAAAAAATAACAGCCTATATCTCCTCTCACTTCTGAAAGGATTTTAGGGCAAGGATTGCCTGACGCGATACGCCTACTATGTGTTTTGAAAGACCACATATCTGTGATATATGTTTTCTTACCATTTTTGACGTGTTTTTATTGCCTTTTATTTTTGTATATTTAAAATATTTTACTTTTATATTTTTGTCAGTGTTGTTTCGTCTTTTGCCTTTTAGCTTTAATATATTAATGAAATTAGTAAAAACGATAATATTAATATAATTTTAATGAAATTAAAACCATACTAAGAATTTCTTCTATATTTGCATCTTACTTACGTAAAGTGATTACATACATGGTACCCAGAGGTACCAGACACAGAAAAAATATTTATATATCATACAAACACTTGTTCCGTACGAAAATCGAACTCGCAGCCCGGAGCGCCACATCCAAACGCACAATTCAGTCTACAAATAAATGTAGTAGCTGCAACCATCGTCGATCAAAAAATTAATGCAACAATCATCATCTGGCTGTTATGCAATAATGCTAATTTATCTGGGGTAGGCAGTTATGCCTTTTGTTAGTAGCCAATTATTTGCAACTAATAATTACCAGTTGTATTGTGGTACAAACGTAATTAAGAGTTGGTTAGCACCTCATCATCATTATGTTCTTTGTGGAATCCGCCACCACCAGTGATTTTTCAGGCCTATACGACTAAGGGGTCTTCAAGAAAAGAGTCTTTTCTTTTTAAAAGGCTGGCAACGCCCCTGCAATTAACCTGGTGTTACAGTTGTTCATGAGCGGCCGTAGTCAATTACCATTAGGTGAGCCGCATGCTCGTTTGCCCCCTCTCTGATGACAGTCTATCAAAGTCCTCTGCTGAACATTGGCCTTCCCCATAGATTGCCTCATCTACCATCGCCACGCTTAGAAGGTAGGTTCGTAACCACAGTTTTTTATTCTTTTGAGTTTTTATTAGGAAGAGACTGCTGCCCATCTCTTGTATCAATTCCCTCTGGCGCCTCTTATGATACCCACGGAATGGTATGGGGATTACCCGTACACCGCTACTACACGACGGTTAGCACTCGCTGCAATTTTATATTATAAAGTCTAAGCAATAGTAAATTAGACATATAACCTTAAAGTCGTCGCTAGGATGGGACGATAGATTGCCAGGAACATTAATATCTCAGAGGTTTTAGTGCAAGTAATAGACCGGCACATTGACCAATACTTGTTAGCGAACTTAACATTTTCTCAAAATGTTTTTTATTCATTTCTTAGACATGAGTGTTGTGTTTCTTCAATGCCGTGCATACACCCGGTACGTGTATATAACAATATAATATGTGAAAGATCGTCAGAAGTGACAAACATTTGGTACTGTGATCGCCTTTCCATTTGTAATACTTGAATATTGCGGCAGACCTTCCTACTATTAGAGAGACTTATGTCTAATATACTTTTAACTAACTGTTGATAAGCAAGAATCTCACAAGTAGCCTATTTTTGCTCCAACAGTTACAATTTTAACTTATTAAGTATACAAAAACACTTTTTGTCACACACACACGGGTTTTTTTTTTCAATAATATCCATTCTTCATAAGAATGCTTTTAACATTAAGCGCTTTGAATTTATAATATATATAAAGGCAAAACAGTAATACTACATGGGATCTCAATATAAATAGATAAGGGTTATTAACCTTATTGTTAACGAGCCGTGGTAACTCACGTGGGCTAAGCGCTCGCTGTAAATTTCACAGTACGCAAGCAACCCGGGTTCGATCCCCACCGGCACCAATGAAATTGTTAATTGCAATTTTAAGTGCTGATCCCGCTGGCACCAATTAAATTGTTAATTGCAATTTTAAGTGCTGATTCAACAAGTGCTCCGCGGTAAAATAAAACATCGTGACGAAACCTGGTATATATTTTGCATTGTTAGACGAGTCCGCCGCGCTGCCCCACGCCAATGGCAGCGCGGCGGACTCGTCTTTGCCCTAAAACTCTCTCAGAAATGAGAGGAGGCCTGTGTCCAGGACGTATATAGGCTGTAACTTTAACATTTAACTTTAACCTTATTGTTATAATAACAGACATTTACCCAAAAATGAGTAGCTAGTTTAATAAAGCCTGTACTTTGATGTGACATGTTGATCACAATACTAGATTTATCGTATCGTTGACGCTGCTCCCCGTGGCTGATCTAGGTATTTTTAATACCATCACCTATCGGACATCACGAGATTTTTCTGGCATTTGCTATAACTCTTCGACACCCACGGAGTGAAACGAAGTTGTGGGTTCTTTTTATTAATTTAACATAAATGATTAAGCCTCCTCACCTCCTTTTTTACGTGGTTGAGCCACGCTGCAGTTATATTATAGATGTATGCACGAATAGGTCGACTAGACCGGGGAAGGACCACGCTCTCACAGAATACCAGCGTAAAATAGCGGCTTAATCCTGCTGTGTTTCGTATGGTGAGTATAGAGAACCGGAGACCCTTTTTACTGGAAAGGAGGCGTTCCATCTTAGTCCTCAGTGATGACAACATATCTGCATTTTGATACTTAATCATAGATAAATGTAGATGTCTATCGGCCACAATATCCACTTACCAACAGGTGGACAGTGTGCTCCTTTGTCACAACCATTCTATAAAAAAAATTGAAAACTAAACTAGCCTAATAGCTACGATTTGCGGAAGTTAATACTGCGACTACTGCAATATTGTTAATGTGTACGTATGTATTTCAAAAAGTTACATATACGTCATCAAGCGTAAGTTAATTGGTACAACATGGTCTGCCAATCAGTGGTTAACATGTGGCCAGTTATATTTAACGACTTTTTACACGTTTCCCGTAAACGGGCAGTTTCTTGCAAAATGTATGTAAGGCACATCGCGTTCCTAACGACCCTAGTAGCAGCTGCTTTTGCAATTTACCCATACTTCGATACTCAAGACTTTATTTACAATGTTCCCAAAGTATACAGGATTTCTATTACTTTGGACAAACTACTGGAATATTACGAAAAGAAGCCTTCGAAGGACCCCGAATGGTATATCGCTTTGGGGATAGCTAGAGGTAATATATTTTTAGTTTCAATTGCACGCAAAATATGGTTTCGGTAATGATTAACTTCATATACAAGCATCCTATTACAAGTCGACTGCTTAACATAGGCCTCCTCTACTAAACGTCACATAGAGCGAGCCTAAGCCTTACTAGGTCATCACTCCAACTAGCGGGGGGCCACTATGTGGTTGATTATCGCTATCTAATTCAGCCTATTAAAGTTGAACATAGGCACTGCTGAATATAGGCCTTCCCCATAGATTGCCTCATCGGCATTATTAGGAACACGCTGCTGCCCATCTCCTGATTTGTTTCCCTTCGCCTCTTACGACACCCAGGGCATGATATGGGGTAGTGGATATTCTTACACCGCCACTACACGTATAATTATATAACATTGATATTCATTAATGTAATCATATTAAATTAATATATTATTGGTAGAAGATATTTCAAACGCTGGATAATAGTTTCCTTGTAGTCTGTCTGTCTGATCACGATTTCGTATTGTCGTAAATTTCATCATTACAACGATTAATTATATAAATTGGCTATATAACTAAAACGCAAATAGCGCAGCGTATGCACACCAACTTGGCTTGACTATTATGCAAGAATGAAGAAATCTGAATAACAGAATCACTGTGATTGTAATAATATAGTTACATTTAAGTATACTAAAATCAAATAATTGGAGTTTTGTAAAAATATCGTTTTTTGTCTTCCTTTAGACTCTGGATAGAAAAATTTTCATATACAGACTTATTTGCTAAAATAACGATAATATTGATTTAGATGTTTTTGTCAGTTTTTCGTCAGTGTCATTTATTCTGTACTAGCTTTTGCCCGCGACTTCGTCCGCGTAGATATTATACTTTAAAACATAGATGATGGGTATACGCGGAACGCAGATGGCAGATTTTTTTCGACCTATTTAACACTTATCGTTGTATTTTGATCAGTTTACACAATATCTTTATTAATTATAGCCTGTGTTGTTCTGATGTATTGTAAAGTTTCATTAAAATACATTCAGTAGTTTTTGCGTAGAAGAATAACAAACATCCATATATCCACACATCCTCACAAATTTTCACGTTTATAATATTAGTAGGACAGTTTTTGGAAACGCATACAGATGTCTGTCTAAACATACACCGAAGTTTTTTTTAATAATGTTTCGTTCAAACGTACAGACGACTACTTCTTTAGTCTAGTGGTCGTATGCGCGACTGCTGACCATGAAGTTCCGGGTTTGAATCCCAAGTTGGGCCAAAATCCGTTAATGGGATTTTCTGTCAAGAAATTCTTATCCCTCGTGCAGCACGTAGATCCTGCACCTTATCTCTCTCCAGTCGTGCCGGAACGCCGGGACGGCCGGTCGATCGATGGTCGATCGGTCTTTGAGAGTGAGGGAATAGAGAGTGTACCTATGTTTGCACACACACTCGTGCACTACAATCCAGTCTTCCGCAGATGGCTAGCTTGAGACTGGCCGCCGTGACCGGAATTCGGCCCGAAGGACATTATCTCATTGTCAGTTGAAAGTGTAGTTCTAATCACCCACCAGGCTACTAAACAAAACATTGCAAAAGTGTAGTTTCTCCTGTTAACCGAGCTACATACTTATAACACCACAACTAATATAATAAATTATATTTTTTACCACGAATATATTATATGCAACAGTAAAACAATTGTAATTTCAGGTCAATTAGAATATACTATAAACGAACTGGACAAATCGGTGCCACCAAAGCTTAAAGAAAACTTACAAAATATTACACGGAAAATGGATCGTATCCGAAATAATACAGATGTCTCGACATTCGTTTATCGCAATAAAGACTACGAATATGGTATGTTATATAATCTTTATTTATTAACTTGGCCAACTATTTATTTATCCAATAGTACTAGAAGAAGGGTATTGTTTTTAGAGCGTTTAAGTATGTCTATTTCTTTGGCACGCTCTGTAACTTAAACGGCTTTATGGATTCTCATATACGAGTTGCCATTAAATTCGTCTTAGCTGTGGAAGTGACAATTCTTTCTTTCTTTTTTTTTTTTAAAAAAACGTTACCCCCACACTAGGATTTTTTCCTGTGTCGTGGAGGCAGTTTACAAACATAAATTGCACAAGGACAAACATCCAGACCCGGAACAATTATTCGTAGGCCATACAAATACTTGTTCCGTGCGGGATTCGAACCCGCGACCCCCAGCGCAACAACTGATTGCTAAGCCACTGCGCCACGGAGCCGTCTTTGGAATGTTTGGACTTTGCTCTTTTCAGTAAAGTGATTGCGCAGTTTGTTTTTTTATTACTGTTTTAAAGTTTAACTATTGTGCTTGTTTACACCACCAGCAGGTCTATCAAATGGGTGGTTTTCATTTTTTTATAACTTGATTTTCATTGTTAATCATTAAAAATTCTGGGTTAATTCATAATAGTATAGTACAATTCCTTTGTTTCCCTGTTTTTTTGTTCGTTTTTGTTTCTGTGTTATGTAAGTAATTAAAAAAAACGTTGTTTTTGGTCGCTCATTTATATGACTATGGTTTTTATTATTACTGTACATTACCACTACATTATGTACATATATTAAATTATCTTTACCTACCATTACTTTATGTGAAATGGGCAATTAAATATTTATTTGTTTTCTTCTTTCCTTCTAGCTATTGTAAAGTTTAACGGCCTTAGTTATAATCATCATCATCATCATCATCAGCCTGCGACGGTCCACTGCTAGACATAGACCTCCCCTAAGGCGCGCCACTTAGCCCGGTCTTCGGCTACATGCAACCAAATTCTCATAATAATCGAAATCAATTTAAGAAATAGACAACGACTAAAATAAACATAAAATGCTTGTGTTAAACGCAGGAGTAGTAGTCAGTAGACGAATGGCGTAATCGAACCTAGGACTTTTAGGTCCGTATTTTAAACCGTATTTATTTATTAGAAATTTATTTATTATTTGATTGTTTGTGGTCATTATTCGACAGATTTATTACAGATTGACGTAGAAAGTGTAATGAAAGTAACATTTTAATCAAAGCTATAGATTTGTGACGCTCTAAAAGCCATTGTTCCGTTAAATGATAGAGTAGAGATTGTTTGTTTATAAGATCAAACGCAAATAAATTTTAATAAAAACTAGCATTAAGAACAGGTTCTTAATTATTTGTTTACAGGTTATGCTAAGTATGATTTATCTCATGTTGGTCAAATTATGCTCATAGTGATCATCACTAGGTCTTCTTTTCCTTTAATAACCTTTTTTAATTTATTGCATAAACGTTTTGATAATTTTTTTTATAGAATAAGGATGACAAACACATCTATCATTGATTAAGATCGATAAGAGTACATCTATCATCAATAAAATTTCGAAATGAAGATGCCTTTCACCCCCTAGGACAACGGAAAGGGTTCTCTACAGTCATCATACTCAACAAAGCAGCTTTATTGTGCTGTTTCACGTTGGTATTATGTGTGGCGTAGTCCCCAGTTGAGCCGACCCATTCGTGCTGAAGCTATGTTTAGCTAGCTAAACGTGATAAAAAATCTAAATGCCAGAAATTATAATTATATTTGAACAACGAAATAGAACCTATAGCCAATTATTTTAAAAGTCAAAAAGCGCAAACAAGTCCAAAGTGGCAAGAAACTTACAAGTAGACCGTTTAACTCCCAGCAGTTATAATTTAACATTATAAAATATAAAACAATATATATGTTAATATATTATGTTATAAAATATATAAAAATATATAATACAAAATCTCATCATTCCACGGGTTGACTGGCATAGAATATTCGCTTTTGTTACTCTATTTATTAAGATGTTAACAATACAGATTAAATAAATAAATAATATGCACAAATGAAAAAAAATCTAGGAATGCTCATTATGTCCAAGTATAAATAATCGTTTAATAATAACTTGATTTTTATAACAAAAAAGGGTTATTGGAATTTATGCAACTCAATAATGTTACAGTAACAACTTACGTTGTGGGTTTTAAGTTGCAATTCTATTTGTACGTATACGAAACTTTATGGTGACCAGAGAAAGGCACCTATACTCGTATTCGACTAAAGATCGATGCACGTTTTAGTTAGCCGACATTTGGCAACATGCGCTTCGCTAACTAGATTTAGGCAAACGAAACCAGTTCACCTACAACTATAATCTAGATTAAAGAGCGAGTTTGATTTTAGGTTCGTTATATTATAATACTAGCTGTTCCCCGCGACTTCGTTCGCGTGTTAGTGTTTTTATGTTTCTGCGCGGAACCCTGATTCTTTTTCTAAAATAAAAGTAGCCTATTTTACTCCTTATGAAATCAGCTATCTGCCAGTGAAAGTCCCGTCAAAATCGGTCCAGCCGTTTCGGAGATTACCCGGAACAAACAGACAGACAGACAGACAGACAGACAAAAATTTTAAAAATTGTATTTTAGTTATAGGTATCGTATTTACTTTCATATGCATTTAGTAAAAAACTGTAATTTTGATATTACAAACAGACACTTCAATTTTATTTATTTGTATAGATGTGCGCGTGAGTGAAACAATCGCGCTGATCGTTTTTTATTTATCCATTAACGGCCAATTAAAAAAGCGAATGGCCAACAGTTTGAAATATAATTGACCTAGATACGTTTCTTACTAATAACGCTTTATACTGAATATTCACTAAATTTGATCCAAATATTAATATTGTGAAAAATTCAATAGACTCGCAGAGCTCAATATATTCAAAACAGCTAATTTAACTTAAAAAAAGTATATATGTACCTACATTTTTGCTTTTTTACAGTCTCCAAAGCAATATTTGAAAATATGGACGTGCTATCTTCTCTAATGGAGCCACTGACACTCGGTACTATGGGAACACAAAAACCGTATCGATTTACTTTCGAACAGTATGTGCAGGAAGCTCGTACTAAGATGCCTAGCAGGAAGGCGGCAGGTTAGTATTTCGTAAGAGCATAGAATACAGATTCACGTAAGCGTATATGTAAGGGACGAGGAAAGTTATAGGTACTATACTAAGCAACATAAGGTGCGACTATGAGGTACAGGAAAGATAAATGAACCGCAGTTTTCCAAGAAAGTATATAACTTAGGTAAACATATTTTTTTTAATAGTAAATTAACCTTCGCTACTCGAAGTGTGAATGTTAATTTGACCAATAGTAAGCTAAATAAATACATTTAATATCAACTGGTCATACATTAAATTACAAGTACATTAAATATCACGGTAACACCGTCCAATGACAGAATGGCGGGTAGGCAGCACAGAGGTCAAGCGTTTGGTTGGCTTCGCTGAGGGCCTTGAGTGATCGCAAAGGACTAATTTCTCTATACCTATAGGATATAGGATAGACCTATAAATACTCGTAATTGATTGGATACAGATGTGTTAGTTCTTATGCAATTTAATGCAATTTACTAATTTTTTTTTATATAAAATGACTTCACAATATAGGAGAAACTCCAACGTAGCTTGGGAGTAACTTAAGTAAGAAAATAGTAATGAAATGAATTTTAATTTTGAAACGTCATTCAAATTTTCCAATATCACGGAAACCATATATACCATACCTTTAAAAGAAAACAACCTAACTCTTATAGGATCACTTTGATATTAGCTTTTTCCCAGAGATGGGAAGAGGTATTAAGTTGAAATTAATAATAAATACTAAAGTCTAGTCTTTTAGAGGTGTAAAAAATTGAAGTTTCTAAGTCAACACAATTAAAATATACAACCATTTATTTCACTTACGTTGATACTCGCAAACCCACTAATCAAAACCTATTGGGTACTTCCCGTTGACCAAGGAACATGAAATTTAGCATGAAGCAAGATTTTATAGCAAAAGTGGGGGAAAATTCCAAAAAATAATATTTACAAAGTTGCGTTTGCAGTTGGAGCATCAACCGTAATGTAGACTGATATACATATTATGGGACAATATTATTTCCAATAAAAAGCTATCATTCAATCTGATCTTTTTTGTTAAAGCAATGTTTGGAGCTCGAACCGATGGATAGTTCACGCATGATGAAGTATTATGTTATGTTATGTTATGTTGCATATTTTTATATCAACAAGAGCTTATGCAATTGGATTATTATTTAGTTTATTTGTAATTTGCCCTGATTATGAATATAATAACTTTTATAGATTAGTAAGCAGGTATCCGTAGAAGGACACTGCTGTTTACAGGCTGTTTCTTTAGAATGTATAATTTAATGACTACATGGTAAACTTTATATAATAAAATTGTGGTTAAATAACTTCACAATGATATTAACAATTTTTAATTCTTAATTCAAGGCATAATATGATGGCATGACATGGTACCACTAAAAATTGCCAGGTTGCAAAGTAGTGGAGACGTACAGCCTGCGCGCCTAAGTGTCCTTTGTTCATTCTAGATTATTCTAGATTATTAGATCTTTATTTATTCTAGATTATAATATTTAGAGCTGTTTTTGTGTTATCTTAGTTAATTATAACTTGACTGAATATAAAAGTGAAACGATTAAACAATTTTATTCATAAAACTGAATTTTTTAATTTGTTTATGTGTTGTATTTTATTCAGATGATAACTTTTATCTGACGAATAAAAAATTTGCCTTTAATTATATTTAGCTTGTGCGTAATGTTTAATTTAATTTACATATAATTTATACGTGGTACATCCTGCAGCTATATTAATTGTATAGTTGTAGCACGAATTGGTCGGCTCGACCGGGGAAGGAGCACGCTCTCACAGAATACCAACGTAAAATTGCAGCTTAACACTGCTGTGTTTCATATGGTGAGTGTAGAGAACACATGGTAATCTATGAGAGAACCGGAGACCCTTTTTACTGGAGAAGAGGCATTCCATCTTAATCCTCATGGGTGACAACGCATCTGCATTTTGATGCTTTATTGAGAATAGATATAGATGTCTATGGGTCACAGCAACCACTTACCATCAGGTGGACTGTGGGCTCGTTTGTCACTCTATCCTATAAAAAAATTGGTAAATCCAATTGGGCATGCCTTAATAGATCGGGAGATGGTGACGGTGATGGTGAAATCACGAAAAGTTGTATTGAATTTTCACAACATTTTCCTAATATTTTCCACCCTTGGTCATACGAGGGGTGCATGCCAATTTTCGTAGGGTATTTTTGAGATAAAAGAAACTAATTTTTTACAACGGCATGCAATTTGTAAACACGGAAATGTTCTATTTTTTTTCATTTCTACGTAACCCTTTGAGCCCCGTCGGCCGTTGCGAATTGCACGCCATCAATTATTATAGCTTAAATTTGTTCCAACTACGTTATATTACAAAGGCATGCAATATAATGTCACGGAAAAATACTAAAATTGTTTACACAAGGAGAAGCCATTTTCTTTATGACGTGCAAGCGCGCAAGGGCTCGTAACCCCTCTATCTTTCATATTTTAGGGTTAGTTATCAATTCTTAAAAAGGCATGCAGGAGAAAATGGGAGACTATTTTCTGTCACCATCTCCCGATCTATAAGCGCATTAAAAAATTACGTATAACATGATTATACGGAATTTTTAAAGTAGTTTAAATACATTTCGATATCACTATCGGCTTCAACACCCTCGAAAACTATGAAAATGACACCCATGATGAAAAAATTGATACCTACTTCAGCCTCCATCTTGGATTTACATTTCGATAGCACTATTGGCTTCAACACCCTCGAAACCCATGAAAATGATACCTTTGATGAAAAAATTGATACCTATTGCAGCCGCCACCTTGGATTTACATTTCGACAGCACTATCGGCTTCAACATCCGCGAAAACTATGAAAATGACACCCATGATGAAAAAATTGATATCTATTGCAGCCGCCATCTTGGATTTACATTTCGACAACCCTATCGGCTTCAACTCTCTTGAAAACCATGAAAATGACACCCATGATGAAAAAATTGATACCTATTGCAGCCGCCATCTTGGATTTACATTTCGACAGCACTATCGGCTTCAACACCCTCGAAAACCATGAAAATGACACCCAAGACGAAAAAATTGCTATCTATTGCAGCTGCCATCTTGAATTTACTTTTCGACAGCACTATCGGTTTCAACACCCTCGAAAACCATGAAAATGACACTCATGATGAAAAAATTTATACCTATTGCTGCCGCTACCTTGGATTTACATTTCGACAGCACATCGGCTTCAGCACCCTCGAAAACCATGAAAATGACACCAAAAAAAATCTCTCATTATTATTATAATCAAGTATTTACGAAATTTGGTTATTCGAATATTGTGTATTTGTACTGCGATTTTTTTGAGCTGCTGCAAACAACCGAAACAATGTCCACTCACGACGGCGACTGACGCCGAACTGAGTGAGTGAGTAAAGTACTCTGTGGCTGTAGCTCGGCGTGCGGCTTCCGCCTATTTAGAAAAATAATTTACATACAAGGCTACCAAATCAACGAAAATTTCGCCATTTTGTAGCCGAAAAAAATAATTATAGCTAAACAAAACAAAATTACACTGCCATTTACATTCAGTGGCTTCCCACATGATAGATGAAGAGATTAAAAATAGATTGAGTTAAACAATTGATATTTTCAAAAGTTAGAGAGGACTTGCGGACTTGATAAATCCACACCATAAGCCACTAAAACCCCTTTTTTATTTCAAAACAGCAATTAAACGATTTAAAAAATATTAATAAGTTCAACAATCATTTATCTTTCTAACAATGTGCTTTTTATATCATTTATATGTATAATATGATTGCTAGATACGATTTCATTCTATAAAACGTTGGAATCTTAATTCTTAGGCGATAGTAGAACATACCTTGCGCTTTCGCTTAAGGCATGCAATATACTAGAAATAAAAATTATTTTATTTTTCCTTTGTAATATTGCAATTTTTTTTCTTTATTTACATTAACTCTTAACACGGAACCGGAACGTCGACAGGTTGTAGTTATACGTATCTACCACAGTAACGTAGCATAACGCAGTGTAATTTATTGGTCATTTAACGTTCCAATACTTTTTAATTGGCGGTGAAAGCTTGATCTGTGGCCTGATATAGTTATATAGACGCGCTAGGTTGATTAAGAGAGAAGTACCCAGTTTGGATAAGAAGTGCCGCGAGTTTAAGCTCCCTATTGGAATGTGTATCATCAAGGAACATGTTTCATAACTATTTCATATCCAAATGAATAATGAAAAAATAAAAAAATTAACTTTTTTTGCATGTTTAGCAGGTCTCGTAGTATTCGGAAAATTAGGATGCTTACCCTTTCTATCTATTTATTACAAATTTTGGTGGACACATTTAATCGACAAGCAACAGAGCAACAGAGTAGTCGGCATGTTTTTGGAGAGTGTGCTCAGGAATGATAAGACCTGATTTTACCTTCCATGATGGCACAAACAGCTGCTCGGCGGATTTTCATCACTTTGTTATTGACGATCAACAACGCAGCATGCGTTCAGTTCAAACTAAACATGTGTAATAATTTTATAATTTATTAATTGACGATCAACAACGCATACTGTTCAGTACAAACTAAACATTATGTAAAATAATTTTATTACTAAATCAACATTTTGTATGCTCTGGCAACTTATTATCTCCTTCTGTCAACCTAGCCAGCGTGTAGTTAGTTGCTCTGTCCACGAAATTATGTGAAAAATCCAGAAATAAACAGTTTTCAAATGTTACTTTATGTTTTCCTTATGCACGTACTATAAAACAGATAACAATGCTATGGTTAACTACTGTTATATAATAGTAATTTAAAATCTATAATTAATAATAACTATGGATAATCACAACAAGACTACAAGATACTGTAACTGCAATTTGGGTAGATCGGGTCAAAAAAATTACCCAAAAATAGCGGTCAAAAGTTTGAGATTTCTTAATCTTTACTTGCTTATCCGCACGCTAAGCATATCGATTAAGGCCTCCTTACTATGAGGGAGGCCCATTACCAGCAGTGGGGCTGATGAAGAAGAAAAATAGCCCGAGTTATCTATGGCATTAGAATGGCCAACAAGCTAAGTCAACACTTCAGTCAACAGTTATACTATGCATAATAAGTAATAACTAATGGTAACAAAAAATAACTAGTGGTCGTGCAGTTGCCGAAATTCTACCGTAATTCATTATATTTTTAAGTTATATAAAGCAAGCTGTATGTACCTATTTCACTTTTAACTGCAAATTAATATATAAAACATAGATATCTAATCTAATATATAAAATAAATCTGTGTTCCTATGTATGTATTAATGTATGTTCTTATTTTTTTAATAACTGGCTTTACGGCTCTGGGTTCTAGCCCTTCCGAGCCTGAAGTTACAATGTATAATTATTCTTCATAGTACACTGTCTCTACTTATTATATTCGTTGTAAGAAATAGGTTTCCAATACCATAGAAAGGTTCCCAACCAAAAATACTGTTCAGATACTCTTAATATCACAAAAATTCATCGTTTATACATTCCCTATGGCCACAAAACGCCTATATGAAAAAAAATTTCATACAAAACAAACTAATCATTTTCTAAACCAATAATGGTCATTGATGATTTATTGTTTGGACAAATTTGACTGAAAAAGCAAAAGTGGATACAGCTGACAAAGATGGTAGGTACAATTGCAATTTTGATATGCAAGGAGTTTTTAATATACCACAATTTAATGCGGGTATGTAAGGAGGGTAAATTTTACTACAAAGGAAAGTATCCAGTGTTAAAGCAAAAAACAGGGTTTTATGTCTTTGCCTCGGTCTAACCTATTCTAAAGTACAGGAATAACTTTGTTATAGGTACATTAAATTTACCTCTTAAATTAAAAAAAAATGGGTCAATAAGTCTTAGGTATAATGCTACTATAACATCACTGTTGAGAAAATTTGCACAATAATCCCATAAGTCAAATAATACTGATCACATTGTTAGCGCATTTTCAGTAATTTTTATTTTCCCATATTGCTTGCATTTTAAATTACTTATTTAACTTAACGCCAACATCAATATTTAGATTTTGTAAAAAATTAACTTTCATATGATATATCAGTCATTTTCCTGAGTTATACCACAAAATCAGTCAATCATTATTCCTGTAAAATTTAAGTTTTACTCAGGGGCGTCGGTATGAGATTGGTAGTTTGAACGTACAAATGTTTTATATCTTAATGTTCTTAATGTAATGTATTTGTAACACTATAATACATAAATTATAGCTCTCTGCACTTTTTTGTCATATAAACTTTAAATATTTCTAATCTCACACTCCTTTGTGCTGGGGTACAAAGTTTCCTTATCATCATCATTATCATCGTCATCATCGTCATTAAATCCCTTCACAAGTCCACTGCTGAACATAGGCCTCCCCTAAAGAATGCCACAAAGCACGGTCCTGAGCCACCTGCATCCATCGACTTCCTGCATATTTTACCACGTCGTCATTCCATCTAGTGGGGGGTCGCCCTACACTTCGCCTACCGGTACGAGGCTGCCAGTCGAGAATCTTTATTCCCCATCGATTGTCGGATTAGTGAGCTGAAGTAGCAATCGGCCGGCCATATAGCTCGAAGTACAAAGTTTCCTTTTCATGTAATATTTCGAAACGGATTTCGAAATAAACACGGGAAAAGATTGTTAAGTTAGTTTTATTGAATATGTAGTATTCGCTAAATTATAATTAATATTTACCACATGCTCGGCGGTGAAGGAAAACATCGTGAGGAAACCTGCATGTCTGAGAAATAAGAAAAAAAATATTTCGAAGACATGTGAAATTCGCCAACACGCATTGGGGCAGCGCGGCGGACATTTCCTTGCCCTGAAACCCTCTCAGAAATGAGAGGAGGCCTGTGCCCAGTAATGGGACGTAAATAGACTGCAACTTTACTTTACTTTTATAATTAATAATTAAATAATTTTATAATTAATATGAACATAATCAAGGCATTTTATTCAACCTGAAACTAGTTATTACTGCTACTCTCCAGTGGATCCTGCAAGTCACAGGATCAGGCTCTGACAACCGTCTAACGTCCCGAAATCCAATTGTTTAGCTAGAGAGAGTTTCGCTTTTGCACTCACAAGCTCACTTACCTATCGTGATGTCAATCTAAAATAAAAGTGAATACCAATAATAATAATATAAAAGTGAATACCAATGTATTCTAACAAATTCATACCAGCTAGTGTATTCTTGGAAAAGCCTGTGTAATGTGTACTTGTTCGTGGTGAAGCCATATTGCAGCTATATTTTGGTGGCAGCAGGAAGCATCTGACTCAACCGGGAGAGGACCATGCTCTTCCAAAATTAAAAACAGTAAATATAGTAGAAGTTGCTTTGTTTCGCATGGAGTGTGGAGGATGGGAGACCCTTTTCACTTATAACAAGCTTTTGCATCTTAGTCCTCTTGTCAACGTATTTACCGCCTGATGTCCGATTTTAGATGTCAGTTTTCATAGTTCCACAGCATCTATTTACCATCAGCAGGATTGTGTGCTTGATTATCGCCTGTGTAGTTAAAAAGACTATTGATGTGATATAAGAAAATGTTGTTTTTCAGATGCATGCACAATGCAATTGCTAATATCAGCAATGGAAACACAGACGACACAAGCTGACGGTGCTTGTGAATTAACGCCTGAATGTCATGCGCAGTTGATGAAAGGGTCGGGCCTGGCCTTCCAGCAGACTAGCAGGCTCCGAGCAGCGATACTAGCGCGGCTTTTCGACTGCATGGAGGGTGTCGACATCTCCGCGCACATATACAAGCTATGCATACAAATTTACAAGGAAACGAAGTCACTCGAAGCTTGGAATCACCCGCCCGGCACTAGGACATTATTTATGCAACAGAGTACGTGAATAATTACTTTATATCGCAACACTTTTCTTTACGGAGCACACAATAAAGAACATTTAAAAACTTAGCATATATAGCGGCGTCAGCACGATATTTAGATTTCTGTAGTTATTTATCTAGACCAGGGGTCGGCAACCTTTTGAGTCGGAAGAGTCAAAAATTACAATTTACAAAATTTCAAAGATTTTTAAAGAGCCACAAATTTTTTTTTGCCAACTATGAAAATAGTACTTGCATAAATAAAATTTTTCAAAAAAATAACTAATCTATTTATTGATAAGAAAAATATATATTTATTCATATATAAATAGTGTTTTTTACAATAAATTTGAACGTAATTTCTATAATGGTATTATTAGATAATCACTTATTATTTAAGTAAAAAATTAAACAATTAAAAATTTATTTACATTATAAGTCTTACAACACTAACTTGTACTTCAATAACAAACAATTGAGCAAACAAATTCAATGGGAGCTTTATTTTTGTATGGTTATTCGAGTTATTCAAACTTTACTAAACAATGTAACTTTTACTTAAAAATAAAAAAACAATAACATACATTAAGGCAAATAAATATCGATTCTGGTGTCTTTCCTGATTTAATGAAGTATAGTAAAGTAATACCTTTATTTAAATCTGGTAGTACATTGAACCCGCTAATTTTAGACCTATTTCTGTACTACCAACTCTCAGTAAAATTTTTGAAAAAATAATTTTGGATCAATTGTTAATTTTTTTTTAATACAAATAATTTACTTCATAAAAACCAATTTGGTTTTACAAGGTGTCGCTCGACGTCTGACGCCGGTGTTGAGCTTATGAAATATATTTTTAATGCCTGGGAGAATTCACAAGATGCCTTAGGTATTTTCTGTGATCTTTCCAAGACTTTCGATTGTGTTCATCATGAGACAATAATCAGGAAACTACAACATTACGGTGTAAAGAATTTGGCACTTAGACTTATTACTTCATATTTAAGTAACAGAACTCAAAAAGTCGTGATCAATGGCAAAGCTTCCTCCGGATCGGTAGTATCAATGGGCGTTCGTCAGGGCTCGATTCTTGGCCTATTCTTGTTTTTAATCTATATTAATGACTTACCTTATCTTGTAGGGGGCAATCACGATATAGTATTATTTGCTGACGATACCTCTTTAATTTTCTAAGTCAAATGGCAGTTAATTAATTATGACGATGTAAATAATGCTCTATCGAAATTAGTACATTGGTTTAATGCCAACAATATGCTCTTAAACGGCAATAAGACAAAGTGTATTAAATTTACAATACCTAATGTAAAACATTCGAATACCAATGTGCTGTTAAATGGGGAGGAGTTGAGTCTTGTGGATACCACTGTTTTTCTCGGTATTACTATTGACGCGAAACTTCAATGGGGCCCCCATATATCTAAATTAACAAGCAGACTTAGTTCTGCAGCATATGCTGTAAGAAAGATTAGAAGTCTCACAGATGTTGAGACAGCTAGATTAGTGTATTTTAGTTACTTTCATAGCATAATGTCTTATGGAATTTTGCTATGTGGTAATGTGACTGCCGTGTAGTGGCGGTCAAGAATATCCACTACCCCATATCCTCCCGTGGGTGTCGTAAAAGGCGACAAAGGGAAACAGGCAGGAGATGGGCAGCAGCATCTTCTTGATAACAACAAACTAACAATAAAAAAAAACTGCGGTTGCCAACCCGCTCGCAAAGCGTGGCAACTATGGCAAATACCCCCCCTATGAATGACAGTAACAAAGAAACGGCCCCCAGTCCCCGGCGGCCCCGCTATTCCTGGCTACGGTGGCGACCATGGTAACGGCGGGGCAGGGGGTGCTAAGAATCTCCGGTGGAGGTTCGGTTGCCACCTTAGACGACTCGACCTGGCAACGTACAACGCACGCACCCTGAGGACTGACGAGAAGATCGTGGAGCTGGAAGAAGAGATAGACAAGTTGCGCTGGCATATTATAGGATTATCCGAAGTCCGAAGAGAGGGGGAGGACACGGTAATCCTCGAATCCGGCAACTTGCTCTATCACCGGGAGGGCGACCATCTGTCCCAAGGAGGTGTCGGATTTATCGTCCACAAGTCTCTCGTTAACAACGTTGTAAAGATCGGGAGTGTGTCGACGAGGGTTGCGTACCTTATACTCAGAATCACCAAACGGTATTCGCTGAAGGTCATACAGGTTTACGCACCAACCTCGGCACACCCCGATGAGGAGGTGGAGGAAATGTATGAGGATATCTCTAGAGCCATGCATTCCTCCAAAACCCAATATACGGTGTTAATAGGACACTTTAATGCAAAACTAGGCACAAGAGAGAACGGTGAGCTGAAAGTAGGGAAATTTGGAATAGGGCAACGGAACCCAAGGGGCCAGCAGCTGGCCGACTTCATGGAGAAAGAGGGACTCTTTATGATGAACTCTTTCTTCCAGAAGCGGCCCCACAGGAAGTGGACCTGGTCGAGCCCCGACGGTTCGACAAAAAATGAGATTGACTTCATTATGACGACCAGACGACAACTGTTCAGTGATGTCTCCGTGATCGCGAGGGTGAAAACTGGTAGCGATCACCGAATGGTTAGAGGCACACTGAACCTAAACGTTAAGTTGGAGAGGTCTCGTCTAATGAAGTCAACGCTCCGTCCCCCTCATGCTCTAATCCAAAGTCCCGAAACCTTTCAGCTCGAGTTACAAAACCGTTTTCAGTGCCTAGAAGACTGCAATGAAGTGGACGATATGAATGACAAGCTCGTGGAAACTGTCCATGCGGTCGGAGCTAAGTTCTGCAAGACCCGCCGCAGAAGAACACAAAAACTCTCCGATCACACTCTTAATCTCATGGCTGTTAGACGGGAGATGAAGCTACATTCTTCAACAGACTTGACAGCATACAGGCATCTGAACAGACAGATCTCCAAATGCATGCGGCGGGACTTACGCAACTTCAATACAGCTCGTATTGAAGAAGCGATCGAGCGGAACCAAGGCTCCAAAGTCTTTGCCAGAGATCTGTCTGCCAGAAAGAGCCAACTGTCAAAGCTGAAGACAGAATGTGGTAGCATCGTTTCCGGGACACCTGAGATTTTGAGTGAGATTGAGAGGTTCTATGAGCAGTTGTACACGTCATCGTTGGAGCCACACGCAAGTGTGAGTAACGATTCAAGAGCGAGTCTCATCCGACACTATTCCGAAGATATCCCGGACGTCAGTCTGAGCGAGATTAGAATGGCTCTCCAGCACCTTAAAAACGGTAAGGCCCCAGGCGAGGATGGAATTACAGCGGAGCTTCTGAAAGCGGGTGGAAAACCGGTACTTGAAGTCCTTCAGAAGCTCTTTAATTCCGTCCTCCATGGTGGCATTACACCGGAGGCGTGGAGCAGAAGTGCGGTGGTCTTGTTCTTCAAGAAAGGTGACAACGCTCTCTTGAAGAACTACAGACCGATTTCCCTTCTGAGCCGCGTCTACGAGCTGTTTTCGAGAGTCATTACGAATCGTCTCGCGCGCAGACTTGACGACTTCCAGCCTCCCGAACAAGCCGGTTTCCGAAAGGGCTTTAGCACCATAGACCACATACATACCCTTCGGCAAATTGTACAGAAGTCCGAAGAGTACAATTTGCCACCATGAGAAAGCCTTTGATTCCGTCGAAATTTGGGCGGTGCTGCAGTCCCTTCAGCGGTGCCAAGTTGACTGTCGGTATATCGAAGTGTTGAAGTGCTTGTACAGTAGGGCTACGATGGCTATCCGAGTACAGAACCAGAGTACGAAACCTATCCAATTGCAGAGAGGCGTAAGACAGAGTGACGTCATATCCCCGAAACTCTTCACCGCTGCATTGGAAGACGTTTTCAAGCTTCTGGACTGGAAAGGATACGGTATCAACATCAATGGCGAGTACATCACTCACCTTCGATTTGCCGACGATATAGTCCTTATGGCAGAATCGCTGGAGGACCTAAGCACTATGCTCAATGACCTCAATAGTGTTTCCCAACGGATAGGTCTTAAGATGAATATGGACAAAACTAAGATCATGTTTAATGTCCATGTCACACCTATGCCGGTAGTTGTTGGGAACACTAAGCTCGAAGTTGTTGACGAGTATGTTTACCTGGGACAAATAGTCCGACTAGGTAAGTCCAACTTCGACCGAGAGGTCAATCGACGGATTCAACTCGGTTGGGCAGCGTTCGGGAAATTACGGCACATCTTCTCGTCAGGTATACCTCAAACCTTGAAAACGAGACTGTACACCCAGTGCGTGTTGCCAGTGATGACATACGGAACTGAGACGTGGTCCTTCACTGCTGGCCGGATGAGGAAGCTAAAGGTCGCTCAGCGAGCTATGGAGAGGGCTATGCTCGGAGTTTCTCTGCGTGATAAACTTAGGAATGAGGATATCCGCAGTAGAACCAGAGTAACCGACATAGCCCAACGGATTAGTAAGCTGAAGTGGCAATGGGCCGGCCATATAGCTCGAAGAACTGACAACCGATGGGGAAGAAAGGTTCTCGAGTGGCAGCCTCGTACCGGTAGGCGAAGTGTAGGGCGTCCCCCCACGAGATGGAGTGACGACCTGGTAAGACATGCAGGAAGTCGATGGATGCAGGTGGCTCAGGACCGTGCTTTGTGGCATTCTTTGGGGGAGGCCTATGTTCAGCAGTGGACTTGTGAAGGGCTGTAATGATGATGATGATGATGAATGTGACTGATATTGAAGCTATATTTGTATTTCAAAAGAGAGCCATTCGGGCGATTTATAACCTAAATTGTAAAGAGTCCCTTAGACAAAAATTTAAAGAAATAAACATATTAACTTTGGCATATATTTATGAAAATGTAATGTATGTACATAAAAACATAAATAGCTTTAATAAGAATAAGGATGTACATACTTTAAACACTAGGAACAAGCATAAGCTTTTAATACCAGTTACTAGACTCCACAGAATCAGTAATTCATTTATGGGTCAATGTATACGCTTTTACAACAAAATCCCAGAACATATGCATGGTTTGTCAATAAACAAGTTTAAAAGTTTTATTAAAGAAAAAGGGTTATTATAATATCAAGGAATACATGAATGAAAATAACGCCTGGGAATAAGGTGATCGCCACCATGCTGGTTCTATGAAAAATCATTTAAAAATTGTATAAACGAAATTATTGATAAGCGAAATATGTTTAAAAAAAGACCCGCTGGGTTTCTTGCTGGTTCTTCCCAGGATAGAAGTATTTTCCGAACCAGTGGTAAATATAAAATGAGCGTTGGTTTTGCATGGTTTTAGAAAGCTTGAATAAATTTGGCTCATAACTTGTTGTTTTATTAGTGTCAACTCTGAATTTTTATTTGTTTGTTGGCTTCTTAATTTACTTTTAATTATATATATTGATGCAAGAGAACGCTTGCTCGCACGAATATGTCAATCCGAAGATTGTCAGCACCCCAAATGCCAACTTCTTCACCTCGCTGTAGCAGTCTGGAAGACTGTTCCATGCGTCGAATATAAGTGCCTCAACTCGCGGAATTTCTTTTAAAGCTGTTAATTTTTGTTGCGTTACATACATACATTTCTGGATCTCCAACTCGTTCAACTTGTTTTTCAACTCTGTAAATTTTCAACTCCACAAAGCTTTACTTTTTAAATCGATCAATTGCATTTCTAGAGATCCAGTATCAACTCCGAATGGCTGAGTGTGGATCGATTTTTAAACGTTTTTTTTATAAAGTAAATAATATTTGCGTATGAAACTAAAGAGCCGCAGCTTCACATCCAAAGAGTCGCATGTGGCTCGCGAGCCGCAGGTTGCTGACCCCTGATCTAGACGATATGCGATAGTTACTACGAACTTGACTTTTTATTCTGGCTTAGATATTTATTATTCCAGAGTAGGTATTCGAAATATTATTTTATGTAAATGAATAAATAATTTATACTATTTAATCACCAATAAACGAGAAATAAAAAATATTGTAAATAACTTCTTCCTTTTATCAGCCAGTAGTAGACTCCTGTTGGGCACGAACCTTGCCCACGGTAAGAAGGATTTGCCTTAATCACTTTAACAGGCGCTTGGTAATCTCATTACCAGACTCGCTATTTTGACGCCTGACCGGACTGTGTCTTAACATCTGATATAAGTATACGTATATGCCAGATGTTAAGACCCAAATGAACTAACAAGTTTGTATATATGGGGGCCCCACGAGAGTGATGCCATGAAAAACAATGGATTCAAAAGGGCTCAGTTCTTGCCCATTTAAAAACACATTAGTATTTTAATTTTTAGCGTTCAGTGTTGTAAATATAATACATTTAGTTTTTTTGCCATTTAAATGTATGTAGATTATTAACGTTTAACCAATGCACTAATTTTGATATAGCATTATTCATTACGTCATATTTAAATTATTAACGTTTAAGTTTAAAAATCAAGATATCATCAGCAAATAATACTATATCATGATTATAACATACAAGAGAAGGTAAATTATTAATATACACTATAAAAAGGTATGGGCCGAGAATTGAACCCTGAGGGACATCCATTAAGTAGGTACTGGAGACCCGGAAGAACTTTTACCATTAGTTATAACTTTCTGCATTATATTACTTAAATATGAAAAAAATAAGTTAAAGTGCTGTGTTCTTGACTTGATAGTACTGTAGCCTCCTTTTTGACTTTTTGTTTGAAAACTAGATTGTTTACGAAATTAGTTTTTTCTATAGTACTTAACTTATAGTGTAATAACCTAAACCTATTTAGCTGTGGAAGTTCAGGCGCTTGCTGTAAATTTCACAGTATGCGAGGAACCCGAATTTACCATGTGCTCGGCGGCGAAGGAAAACATCGTACGCGCATACTTGATCGGAGAATAAAAATGGTATAATTAATGAATTCAAAAGCTTTTCCACTGGACTTCGTTTCTAACTGGCTTTAAATGCTTATTATTATTAACGATACAATAACTACAGACATTGAGTTATAAGATTAGTTTATTTTTTGATTGATTCACTTTAGATTACATAACAAAAATGTAATTGAAAAAATATATGGAGTGCCTTCCGTTGGTCTATGCGTCGGTGAGTCTTCTCGCATAATAGAAATGTAAGCAATAGATTGAAATATATAGCGTTAAATAAGATTCCAATAATCTAAGGAGGATCCCTATTGATTTTTGTTATTGAAATTAACACCGTTTAAAAGTTATTAATGAAAGTCGATCAGATGCTCCTTTTTTTCTTGTAAAAATTATCGTAACTATTTTTATTTATTTCATCAAAATTAAATGAAACGCCCATAAGGCGTACACTTTTGGGTTTTCCAAACATCTTTCATTAGACAGACGTTTTCGTCCATTCATTATTAATTATTAATGGCAATATCAAAAGTCCACTGCTGAACATAAGTCTAATAATATATATATATATATATATATATATATATATATATATATATATATATATGTGTGTGTGTGTGTGTGTGTATATATATATACAATATATATATCCTCATAGAGAGATAATATAGATTTTTAGTTACAACGCTTGGCAGGCGAGTTGACATTCGCTGTGTTTTTTTATATAGGATAGGGTGACAAACGAGCACACAGTCCACCTGATGGTAAGTGGCTGCGGCTGCTGTGGCCAATAGACATCTACAGCTATCCTCGTTGGCGAATCAAAATGCAGATGCGTTATCACCCGTGAGGACTAAGATGGAATGCCTCTTTTGCAGTAAAAAGGGTCTCCGGTTCTCTACACTCACCATACGAAACACAGCAGTGTTAAGCTGCTATTTTACGTTCGTATTCTGTGAGAGCGTGGTCCTTCCCCGGTCGAGCCTACCCATTTGTGCTACAATTATACTACTAATATAGCTGCAGCATGGCTCTACCACGTTTAATTTTTTTTTTTCATTAATAAGAGTTTTTATAAGGAATATACTGCTGCAATCAACTGTTTCTTTTATCTCTGTCACCTCTTACGACAGCCACGGGATGATATAGTGGATTCTCTAACACCGCCAGTACACTGTGTCACGGTGGTTTTGGCCATAGATCATACAATTATTAATTGCAAACTTGATTAACAGGTTTTGATTCAATTTATGTGTGACAGCATCGATTATCTTGTAGATATTTCCTTGTTACTTTTTTAGTTCTCTACTGCGCATCTCAAGGCTACGGAGAGTTTATTAAGCCGCGTTGGATGAATAAAATCTTGGCGTGGCAAGAACCTAAAGGATGCTATGCTGATGACCGACAGCCTTTCCTTAAACTCACAGGCTTCGTGGGCCCAGCTACTACTCCCCCGCCAAAGGATAGAGAGGTATTTTATTTTAATTTTAATTTACTATCGTCAGGTGTAAACAGTGAAGGTTTTATAGTCTTGTGGTGAAGGATCACGTTGAAAAGCAACGTCTTTGTAAATTGGTCATGAAATACATTATTGAAGGCATACCATTACCTTTAGAGCCTATAAAAAATCCACTGTTGAACTGATATTTGCTTTATTTTGATAGGCCTTAAACTGATGATGATGATTTATTTTTCTAGGAGGAGTATCGTGTGAAGAAAGTGGCTACATCTGAAGGTGGGTCCTGTAACTCACTTACGTCAGCAATGGCACTTGGGTCCCTAGTAATGTATGTGCGAGCATTATTAGAAACCGATCAAGCGTTTCAATATGACGTACTTTTATAAGATTTCATGTAATTTGTAAAATTTTAAATTTAAAATAAATTTAATTTCAATGTTTTTTAATATTTATTTATTTTAATTTTTTTCACGCAGATTTAAACAAACGCAAAAAAGTACAATCGTTTAGCAAGATTGAGATATTATATTATCGCTTGGTGTGTGGCTACGCCATCATGCTAAAATATGATCATGTAAATGTCGTAATACTTTCGACAGATGGCAGTATATCCAATCGGTGTACGCTAGATGGTCGGAATAAAAATGTGCGGCACGTCTGATACTATGTTTACCAATCTGCCTTCCAAGCACGCTTCCAAGCTTGGCAAGTAAATCCCGCTTACAAAGTGAGAAGTGTGTGAAAGAGAAACGAGCACACAGTCCACCTAATAGTAAGATTATATTTAGAATCAAAGTGCAGATGCGATGTCACCCCTGCGGACTTAGATGTAATGCCTCTTTACCAGTAAATATATCCATCAACATCCGACATCTCTTACCAGTAAGTAAATTTGTCTTAATTTAATTATAAAAATTATACACATTAGGTATTTTGGAAAATGAAATTGTCGTAAAGAATGACACCTTTACTTACGAAAACCACACTTCTACACGTGTTTCGTCTAAAAAAAAAACAACAATTATATGTTTTTTGAATGTGGAGATGTTATTTTAGTATCGCAATGAAATAACGTTAATTGTTTAAAAATAAAACTAGATTAATATGTGATTACCATTTCAATATTTGATATTTATAGTATACTAGTTTCCACCATATATTTCAATGCAATATTTTGTGTGAACTTATCGTCACTTAATAAATAAAAATAAATAAATAGAACAAATACTAGTTAATTTAAAACAAAGGAATGAAAACCGGGAGACGCTGCTGGTAGCATAGGCGTTCGCATTAAATTTCGTAGTACGCGACTAACAAGAGCTTGAGTTAAAAGTAATAAAATTGTTAGTAATAGTTTTCTGGTGATTTACCACGTGATTGTCAGTAAAGGAAGACATTGTGAAAACCTAAAAAATAATAAAAGAAATGTGATATCCAACAACGCATGTAAGCAACGCGACGGACCCTTCTTTGCTCCAGTAACAATCTCAGCAATGGAATTTATAATATAGTTACTTTAAAGGGATTTAAAGTAAAGAAGATTTGTATATATACACCATAATGACAAGAATTTGCAACGGATGAAATAAACCGTAAAAAATTAAAGTGTATATTAGTAGAAATACAACAAGGTTGGTAGTTAATAAATCATATAACGTATGAATGTAATGACGGAGTATGATGGAGGAATAATACAAGAAATGCAGGAAATCGATGGATTTAGGTAGCTCAAGACCATGCTTTGTGGCATTCCTTAGGGGAGGTCTATGTTCAGCGGCGGTAATGGTGATGAGGATGAGGTCTGACTACGGGATGGGTATTTCTACATTAAATAATTTAAAATAAAAAAATTGTACAACCGACTTTAATGTAAATTATAAGAACCAAAACGCAGATGCGTTGTCACCCATGAGGACTACGATGGAATGCTTCTGCTATGCTCTACACTCACCATAAGAAACACAGCAGCGTTAAGCTGCTATTTTACGCTGGTGTACTGAGAGCGTGGTGCTTACCCGGTCGAGCCCACCCATTTCTGCTACAACCATAATATAGCTGCAGTATGGCTCTAACACGTAAGTTGAGCTTTAATGTTTGAAAATCGGATCTAAAGTGAGATAAAGTGTTATGAATCGTAACTGCGTTTGGACTTGGACTTAGGCTTAGACTTGTGTAATCTGTAATATTATGTTTTAAAAATAGGCTTTCACCGTAGAGCTATAGTTATCAGAAGGGCTGCCTGATTTATTTTAAAAAAATATCTAAACAGATAAATGAATAAAACAGTCAATGTGAGTAAAGACAAAAGTTCGTTTGGGCGTCTGCTTCTTAGTTAATAGCAAGTTCTGCAATTGCATTCTCGTATCGTGGTGAAATCCTTCCAGATGCATGCGTAAAGTCCGAAATAAGAGGTAATTTTAAGACCTTAATATTTATACAACCTTAAAAACCCTTGGTTAATTGATTTTACGAGTTGATGATCTCAGCTTTGAAAATGTCGTAGGGAAAATTTGATGTCACATCTAGTGATACTACAGTAATAAAATACATTTAGGGCGGATTCGACCAAACTAAGTATAAGTCTTATCCTGAGAATAAAACCACTGATTACTCTCGAGTTAGAGAACTATCTTTTCACCAAATCTTAACCCAGGTATAACTGTCTATCCCAGAGTAAATTGCTATACCGCCAAAATTCATGGAGTAAATAAGTTATCCCAGAGTATTTTAATGGCGGCCGCTACATTTTAACAGCTGTTTTCGTATCCTTTGTTGAAAAAGTAACATATTTTATCGTTGTGCATTTATAATTGCTTGTATTTTTGTGGTATTTGTAGGGATTATTTTTTAAAATAATGCAACGTTTACGAAATATGATCGAAGATTCCGTCAATTTTTGGCTTCATCATAACCCCGTCTGTTTTTTTTATTTTCAATGACACGAAAATGTTTTTCTACTAGTTCTAACAACACATTCTTTTTCGAAAGTAACCAATTTGGGCTACGTTTTTTTTTCTGCAGACATTTTATTTCACAAGATAAGAATAAGATTAGATGAATAATCAACTGACAACTCAACTGGTGTTAACCTCTCAGACCTTGACATTTTATTGGACATATTTAGTTAGAACTATGGTCAAGCCAAAGAGTATAGTAGGTCAGGCCAGACGATTTTTTAAAAAAATGGTAAAAATAACTTAGAGTCATTACTATGTTCATATCCAAAAATAAAAAATTATCAACAATTAAAATATCGAATTATTTATATGAAGGTCAAGTGAGCACTAGAGTGAAGACGATTGCAAGACGATTTGTCGATAAATGAAATGTTTCGAGAAATTATCAATTACTGTGTAGTGGCGGTGTATGAATATTCATACTATTCCGTGGGTTTCGTAAGAGGCGACTGATCCACTGTTCAATACAACAAGGTACGTGTACCGTGGAACAGAACGTGGCAACTATGACAAGTATACCCTCTATGAGGAATATAGTGGAGGCCTATGTTCATTGGGGGTTTTTATAGGATGTAACGGTCCATCACCAGCAGTGGAATGAAACTGTAAGGAGAGGGAGGGATTAATTTTATTATTTAAAAAAATATTTTAGTGTTTTTTTTTTATAGAAGAGGGGGCAAACGAGCATGCGGCTCACCTGATGGTAAGTGACTACCGCCGCCCATGAACAACCGCAACACCAGGGGAATTGCAGATGCGTTGCCGGCCGTTTAGAAAGGTGTAAGCTCTTTTCTTGAAGGTCCCTAAGTCGTATCGGTCCGGAAAATCCGCCGGTGGTAAACAATTATGTGTAAAAAAGTCATCAAACAGCATCAAACAATTTATTAAACAAAAGTTGCGTAAACAAGTTCAATGGTTAAAACAATATTAAATAACAAAACCAAACAATTCTACTGAAAAGAAAAAAAGTAAATATTATTTCACTTTTACAACTAAGGCAAATCTAACGAATTTAGAAACGAAAATTATATATATATATATATATATATATATATATATATAATATATATATATATGTTAAAATCGAATAAATATTATGAAGAAAGAAACAAGGACATAGAAACACTTGATTTTCATAAGGAAAAGAAATATATAATATAATTATATCGATAAACTCAGTAGAAGCCTCAAAAAAAATTAAATCACAGGTATATACTTGTACATCCGTAAGATAGCGTAATAAAGTATATACTTTATTACGCTATCTTTGAGCAACGCCATTTTTCTAACGACTTCAAACAGGAGAAGGAAGTCGACTGTGTTTTTTTATGTGTGTTACCTCATAACCTTCTGGGTGAACTGATTTCGATGATTCTTTTTTTATTTGAAAGCTGGTGCTTCACATTCACATTTTTATTTTAGTTATTGTTGAAAACAACTTCGCCATAATGTTCACTATATATCGAAATTATAACATAAAACGTAATTTTCGCGCATTGGACTTTGTGGGATATGAAAATTTGTGTTTATTACATGATTTATTGTGATAACTCACACTTTTTATTTACTTTTTCAGTTAATTCTGGCAATTAAATGTAGTGATACGTGAACGACACAGTAGTTGAAATGGCAATTTTATAAAATATATGAAATTGTTACGAAGCAAAATATAAGGAATTAAATTTTAAAACAGTGTAATTACTTACCATTTGTATAAAAACTAACAAAAAACTTTCTATTGTACCCACTTAATTTTTTGTAAAATTTCTAGTTGCCTCTTACACTCACGCGGCGAAGGATATAAGACTAAAGTATGTGACGTAAACGCGACGCGAGGCGGAAACTCGTCATTTGAAGTAAATTCTGTTAATTTAAAGAAGCGTAATTTAATAACGAAACTAATTCTAATAAAATTTTAGTTTTATAGTTCATCTAAATAACATTTAAAAAATAATTGTTATGAGCACAATAACTATGGTTCTGACTAAACGTAGTGTAGAGATCATATACTCTTTGGTTCTGAGAGGTCCTTTCTAAATATTACCATACTCTTTGGAGCGTTCTACAAAGTTGACCTTGGATTGCCTCATGTGTACTTTAAAGGCTTGACAGATATTCTAGTGTTCAGTGACAGTTGATACTATTATAATCCGGCAAAACTAAGTGGGCAGAAAATCTTGCATTGCGCTATGTAAACAATTGTATTTCGATTTTAGTTGGCTTACATGTTCATTCGTTTTTCATTCACCAACTCTAGAGTAACAATACCCAGTATTAGCTATTCTACGTTTGTGTTGGAAAAACGCAAAGGAAGTTATTTGAGAGTAAGAGCAAAGAGTAAAATTATTCTAGGGTTAGTTACTCTGGAGTAACATGGTATTTGGTCGAATCCACCCTTAAATGCATTGATATAGTGAAGTGGCTGGGCG